GGCTGGGCAAGGGACCTGAGGTTTGCACTGTGACCAGTGAGGTGCTATTGGCTTCTTGAGTTGGAAAGGCAGAGGGTCCTGACTTAGGCTCTGAACCTGTTCCTGGACCTCAGGCTCTGGGGGCCAGCCAAAAATGGTCAGGGCTTGGAGGCAGTACACCCTGGCTCTCCGCTAGTTAGTTGAGAACTCTTATGACACATGGTCCACGCTGGTGGTCCAAGTTCTTGTCTCAGAGACAGGCTCACACTGCATGTTTCTCTTAGCCTTCTGTTTTCCTTATATTGCATTGGGGATGACCACTCAGTCTGCTAGGCCCTAGATATTGGGGAATCTGCGATAGAGGCCTGAATCGTGCAGGGCTGAGAGTGGGTCTTTGGAGGCTAAAGACCTTGACATGTCAGAGACTGTCCAGGGCCTTGTTTCTGGGCCTGAAGAAGGCTTGTTTCACATTGGGGCTGCTGTTTTGGAAGCCATCTCTGTGGGATCTGAGGCGGGCAATAAATCCCCTCAGTGGAGCTGGTCCCAGCATGGGCCACCCAGCAGAAAGGCCTCATCAGCGGCCTCATTTGCATAAGATAATGAACCCGCAGTAAAAATAGGAGAAGAAAAAAAATGGCCTGGCAACTTTGTTTCCATAAATGACAGATGCTTTTTAAATACTTAGCTTCTGTTTTTCAGAGGAAGTCCCCAGGGGCAGGATCTGGTCCAGCCTGCAGTCCTAGCAACCTAGCCTTGACCTCTCCTTGGCTTGCGCCTGGCATTCACAGGGCATAGAAGCAAAGAACAGGAGCTCAACTGAGGGTCAGGAAAGCCCCTTGAGAGCAGTCCTCTCACATTCTGCCCTAAACACGGTTTTTGGATCTCTTCCTTCCTATCCATGCTAGCTCTCCAGGGCAGCAGAGAGGACATTCCCATCACACAGGAGAACCTCGAAAACCCTGTGAGTTATGAGTCGTAATCAAGGCAGAGCTGGGAGGATTGGAAATTCCTATTCCCCTCTGAGCCCATGCTGTCTGTTCTGGCTGCTTCGGGAGATGGCCGAAGAAAGCGTTCATTATTGTTGACTTCTCACAGGCTGGGCCTACGACAAGCTGTTTACACCATGACCCCAGGAGTGTATAGTCCTCACAATCTTGTGTTTCACAGATGAGGAAACTGAGGCTGTGGGTACTCAGTTGTTTGTTCAAGATTATGCAGCCAGTAGGTGGCGGAACCAGAACCCTTGCACAAAATGCTAAAGTCTTCAATAGAGGAATGGGTAGATGAACAGTACTGCTCTCCCTCATCCCTACCATGGCCTCCTTTCTCCTCTCTCTCTGCTGGAGTCCTCCTGGAAGCCCGGTGTGCCCCCCCAGCCCTTCTTCTCCGGATGATGGACAGACATCCTTCAATCTAGGACCTTTCTGGTCCTTCTTACCTGGCTGTGGCTCCAGGTTAAACAAATGTTTTCTGACACTGTATTGGGTGCTGGGGTATTGGGTGCTTCTCCTTCCACTGAGATTGTTGGGGTCTTGTCTGACCCTTGCTAGGTGATGGGACAGGAAGGTAAATATTTCAGGATGCAGCCTGTGCACATAGTTGCTGAAATTCTCCAGATCTTTCAGTCCTTCGATGAAGCTACGTCTTATGACTGTTCTTAGTGATCGTTCTCCTTCCTCAGGTCATGCCTGATGGGACCACAAGTGGTCATCTGAGCCAAGCTGCTTCACTCTCCTGGGAATTCCAGTTACACAGGCTTGAGAGCTTGACATAGGTCTGCCCACTAGGAGAGTTTAGGGCAGGGCCACCCTAGGCACAGACTGGCTGTTTTCCAATCCTGTCAGAGAGCAACATTGAAGGTTCTAAGGGGAATCAGCCTCTAAGTCAGGGGTTCTCAACCTGGGGTCACAACCCTTTTTGTGGGGGTGGGGGTTGAATGACTCTTTCCCGGGGGGTTCCACATCAAATATCCTGCATATCAGATATTTACATCACGAGTCACACCAGTAGCAAAATTACAGTGATGAAGTAGCAATGGAAATAATTTTATGGAGGGGGGGGGTCACCACAACGGGGGGAGGACGGTATTAGGAAGGTAAGAACCACTGCTCTAAGTGAATCTGTCTATGGAGTCTGAGAGGCCAAGGGATGTGGATCCCCCCCCTTTCCACTCCTGTCCAGAATGTTTCTGTCATGAGAACGTGAGCGGGTTGATAGCATCCATTCATTCTCCACTTCCAGCTGCTTGGACAATGAGATACTAAGGACAAGGGTTGTGACAGGTAGCAGCTTTTCAAACTAGACTTCCAGATTCCTGGATTGCAACTCCTGTGTGCCTCTCCTTCCAAGCTCTTGTGCCAGGCTGAGAGCAAGGAGGTGGGACCAGCTCTGTATTGTCTTGGGAGCCGTTCCTTCGGGTCCAGGCTGGCCTTCCTTTCTCATCTCTTCCACTGACATTCAATTCTTCCTGTTTAAAACAATCACTCTGAACTAGGACATCAAATTTCCATCTCCAGAGAGTAATCCACAGAGCTTTCTCTCTCCCAGCCTAGAATAGCTGAGTTGAGATGTGACTAGCCAACTTCTGGTGGCACATTCGTCTGACCTCATCAACCATGACCAAAGGGACAGAGCCGCCTAAGTACACAGTCGCTCCTTCAGAACCTGCGATGATGGTGACTTAGCTGTATAGGCACATGCCCAAGAGAGGGGAAGACAGAGACCAGACAGTACTGAGGTGACACTGTGGCCCTAATGACGGAAATGGACCTGGGAGTCAGGGCGGGGAGTGGCTACCTGCTCCACACTGGGTCTCCTTCCCTGAAAACTGTCCTCCCCAGGGTGGAGGATGGGGTGGGGGAGATGAGGAACAGAAAACACGCCTCGGGAGGAACCCATTTTCTAAAAACATTTATTTAAAATTTAAAACCATATTACTTCATACAGCAAACTGTGCACTTTGATATATCACAGTGTCTTAAAAAGGAAAATAATCAGATTTGTTTGGAAATTTATTTACATCTGCTTAGAATGATTGGCAAGTAACACAGTTACTATGAAACCCAAATTGTTACAAAATGTTTACAAAAAACTATATTCATAGAAATTCTGCATGTCCACAAAGGGCACCCCCTGAATGGCCCAGAGACCAGTGTGTGGGAACCTTGCTGAGTGGGAAGGGGGAGAGCGTCCAGGCACTCTGGTCTGGGTAGTGGGACAGGCCAGGGCTCTTGGAGTCCCATGGTGCTGTCTGGGGGCTCAGCCCAAGAGCAGGGAGCTGAGGTCCCCACCACCGAGGCCCAGCCAGGAAGTCAGCCCAGGCAGGTAGGGGCTGGGGTTTCAGAGCACAGTGGCGTGAGGGCTCTTGGAGCCTCTGGTCTCTGTGGAGCCAGGACAGGACCCTCCTCGGTGGCGGCTGGATTTAGATGCGCTTGGCCATGGCTGCAGGAGTGGGCCTGGCCTTTAAGTGCAGACGGCCTGAGGGCTGGGGTTAAAGCAAAGGGCAGGCTGCAGACCACACAAAAGCAAAGCCCAGTCTCCTCTCCCCAGCACACTCTATAGATGCTTGGACCCAGGAAGGGGCTGAAGGCCTCAAATTGCTGGCAACAGACAGATCCAAGTACAGCAGGGACAGAGGTCTGTGAACCCAGCTATCAGGGGCTCCCTACCAGCTGCCCTGTTGAGGAAGAGGCAACAGAGAGAAGGACCAGCAAACACTAAGGGGCTGTGGAAGGCTGAGCGCTGCCTTCTTGACTCTCTCATCTCCCAACTCTCTGGTTCCTTGATAGCTCCCTCACTCTTATGCCCGGGTCAGAATGAACTGGGCAGACTCTTGGCTAGCATCTGACTCTATGGCTCCTCCTTCTACTGGGAGGCCTCAGAGTTTTGGTCTTTAATAGTAAAACAGACAGCTATGGGTGATTTGACTGCCTCTATCCTAGAAGGCAGGGGAACAAGAGCTAGATTCATAACTAGGTTATTGGGATGTTGAACGAGCATGTCAGCAGTGCCTTCGGGGGCCTTTCTCTTCAAAGGAGCCTCACTCTAGCCATGAGCTGTGGGCACCTTGTGTTTGTGAGGCCTTTGCCACCCAAGGTCCTCTGACGTCTGATGCTTCTGATGCAGCTTGACATCTTCCAAGCCATTCTGTAGGGCCAGGGAAGAGTCTCCACTTTCCTCGCTCTCCTCCCCAGCACTAGATGTGGGGACCAGACTGTGATGTTGGTTCGGAGATCAAGGACCAGCAAGGCCTAAACTCCCATATGCAGACTCTCACCCAGGGCTGTCTCCTCCCCGGTTCACCTGTCAGCTCCACACTATCCTACCCTTTTTGCTATGGTCCATAGCACTGACGCTGGCAAGGCCTGGCTTGTTCCAGAAGGCTGTGCAAACCTGACCGTTCTGCTGCCACCCTCATCTCTCACTGGGTCCTCACCCATACTGGCTGGGTTCTGTACACTTTGTGTGCAGACGTGCAGGGAAGAGTTGTATACACAGGGGTTGTGGGTCATATATACACTGTGCATATATATATATATAAGCATATATATTTTTTTACATTCATATATATATTGTACAGAACAGTAGCCTTCTACCTAAAAACAGTTCTGTGACTTCACGTATACCTCAGCTCTAAAATTTCGACTCCAGGACATGGAGGCAGAGGGCAAAGCCCCTTCCACCTGGGCAAGTGGCTAGCTCAATCCCAGATGTGCACCCCGCCCCTCAACAACCTGGGACGTCCAGCTGTATCTTACTCAGAGATCTGCCCCCAGGATTGGGCCCAATTCTCAGATCTGTCCACTGGGCTGGGTGGGTCCCGGATGTTAACTCCATACGGTTGTCTGTCCGTGACACGAGGGCCCCTCCGAATGGGCATCCATGCAGAATGATTCCAGAGGTGGAGCGTGGAGTTTGTCCTGTTCAGATGCTGGTGCCTGCAGTAGGGAATGGCTCTGGTGTGTGTGTGTGTGTGTGTGTGTGTGTGTGTGTGTGTGTGTGTGTG